TTATCGCTTTTCACAGTGTATTAGCTCCTTAAGAATTATTTTTTTATTATTATTGGGACAAAACAAACCACTGTTGTTTAATGACTTTCCTAAATAAACCAAGTTAAAATAACCTAATTAGCCTAACAAGATGACTAGTAAAACATACAGTCATCATGGCAAAGACAAAAGAATTGAGTTATTAGAAATTAGTGTTGAAGAAATCCTGTGATTATCAACTGGGAAGTGTTCTCTGCTTGTTAAGTGTGACGTAACGAAAAGCGGCTTCTGGGTCCAAGTGATACATCAAACTCTATAAGGAGACTCAACACTTACAAAGCGATGTAATACTCTCGAAAATCACGACCGCTTTTTAAATATACAATTGAAGCCAGATTTATTAGCCCCCTTGAATTATTAGACCCCCTGTTTATTATTTTCCACATTGTTTTTTATCGCAGAGCAGATTTTCTCAACACATTTCTAATAATAATAGTTTTAATAACTCATCTCTAGTAACTGATTTATTTTATCTTTGCTATGATGACAGTAAATAATATTTTAACAGATATATTCTAAGGTGATAGTCGGAAAAAAATATATAGCTTAAAGGGGCTAATTATTTTGTCCTTAAAATGGTGTTAAAAAATTTATAACTGCTTTTATTCTAGCCTAAATAAACCAAATAAGACTTTCTCCAGAAGAAAAAATATTATCAGACATACTGTGAAAATGTCCTTGCTCTGTTAAACATCATTTGGAAAATATTTTAAAAAGGAATAAATTCAAAGGGGGGCTAATAATTCTGACTTCAACTGTATATGCGTTATATCAGATGGCCAGAAAGTGATACATTTTTACTGAATTGTTAAAATATTGGTGTCTGTTAAGTCCAGAGGCTTGTGTACACCATAATTTTACATACAATTCACTTTAATGTGTGGTTTGGCTAAAAAGTGGTCATAAACGAATATTTATTCAATGCAAATAAGACCTGGAAACCACACGTCACGACTCAACAAGTGCATTAAAACAACTTACATTTCACACAAGGTCTATTACAATTTTGCCTCCGACTGTATGCGTGTTTGTGTATGCGCGTGTTTGTGTGTGTATTTTGTCATATCAAACTAAAAGGCACTTAAATTGGTGACATTTCTCCCTATACAGAAGGCGGTCCTGACTGTTTGAAGGACCAATCACAGTGCTCGGAGCTTATCCCGCCTCTCACAGCTGCCTATAGACTCCTGCGGTGCTTCTCAATCTGAAGAACACGTCCTAGCAACCCTGACACCTCAAACTGAAGCACCCTTAGTAGTCAGCATTAGTTTTGCACCCTTCATTCACCCTCTTTGAATATACTAAAGATGCATTTTTCTGTTCAAAAGGCGCTCCTGGAGACAGCTCTCAAAATGGACTACATTTCCCATGAGCTGAAAATCGGAATGTTCCGCTTCCTGGAATGAAACGTTAATTCCGGAACTTGCATAAATTCTGAACTGGACATCAGGCGGGAAATAGAGTGCATCTTTTCAGCAGCGTGGCTTCAGGGAGTTAGTTTTCCATTCATTTTCCCCAATGGGTCTTCACATGAATGTAACAGAGTATACCTATAAGAAGAATGACACTCCACTGTATAAAGTGCTGAGTTCTACACAATCGATTTGTGTTGGGATGACATAAAAATAGAGCAGAATAGAGAGAGCGGCGTCCGCGACAATACCCTCACCACCCCCTCCCTCAGTTATATCCGCGTCTAGGGCGGCAGAATAGAGAGAGCGGCGTCCGCAACAATACCCTCACCACCCCCTCCCTCAGTTATATCCACGTCTAGGGCGGCAGAATAGAGAGGGCGGCGTCCCCGACACTACCCTCACCACCCCCTCCCTCAGTTATATCCGCGTCTAGGGCGGCAGAATAGAGAGGGCGGCGTCCGCGACAATACCCTCACCACCCCCTCCCTCAGTTATATCCGCGTCTAGGGCGGCAGAATAGAGAGGGCGGCGTCCGCGTCAATACCCTCACCACCCCCTCCCTCAGTTATATCCGCGTCTAGGGCGGCAGAATAGAGAGGGCGGCGTCCGCGACAATACCCTCACCACCCCCTCACTCAGTTATATCCGCGTCTAGGGCGGCAGAATAGAGAGGGCGGCGTCCGCGACAATACCCTCACCACCCCCTCACTCAGTTATATCCGCGTCTAGGGCGGCAGAATAGAGAGAGCGGCGTCCGCGACAATACCCTCACCACCCCCTCACTCAGTTATATCCGCGTCTAGGGTAGCAGAATAGAGAGGGCGGCGTCCCGCGACAATACCCTCACCACCCCCTCCCTCAGTTATATCCACGTCTAGGGCGGCAGAATAGAGAGGGCGGCGTCCCCGACACTACCCTCACCACCCCCTCCCTCAGTTATATCCGCGTCTAGGGCGGCAGAATAGAGAGGGCGGCGTCCGCGACAATACCCTCACCACCCCCTCCCTCAGTTATATCCGCGTCTAGGGCGGCAGAATAGAGAGGGCGGCGTCCGCGTCAATACCCTCACCACCCCCTCCCTCAGTTATATCCGCGTCTAGGGCGGCAGAATAGAGAGGGCGGCGTCCGCGACAATACCCTCACCACCCCCTCACTCAGTTATATCCGCGTCTAGGGCGGCAGAATAGAGAGAGCGGCGTCCGCGACAATACCCTCACCACCCCCTCACTCAGTTATATCCGCGTCTAGGGCAGCAGAATAGAGAGGGCGGCGTCCCGCGACAATACCCTCACCACCCCCTCACTCAGTTATATCCGCGTCTAGGGCAGCAGAATAGAGAGGGCGGCGTCCCGCGACACTACACTCACCACCTGCGCCCTCAGTTATATCCGCGTCTAGGGCAGCAGAGTACAGAGGGCGGCGTCCGCGACAATACCCTCACCACCCGCACCCTCAGTTATATCCGCGTCTAGGGCGGCAGAGTACAGAGGGCGGCGTCCGCGACACTACCCTCACCACCCGCGCCCTCAGTTATATCCGTATCTAGGGTGGCAGAATAGAGAGGGCGGCAGAGTAGTCCGTGACAATACCCTCACCACCCGCGCCCTCAGTTATATCCGCGTCTAGGGCGGCAGAGTAGTCCGTGACAATACCCTCACCACCTGCTCCCTCAGTTATATCCGCGTCTAGGGCGGCAAAATAGAGAGGGCGGCGTCCGCGACACTACCCTCACCACCCGCGCCCTCAGTTATATCCGCGTCTAGGGTGGCAGAATAGAGAGGGCGGCGTCCGCGCCCTCAGTTATATCCGCGTCTAGGGCGGCAGAGTAGTCCGTGACAATACCCTCACCACCCGCGCCCTCAGTTATATCGGCGTCTAGGGCGGCAGAGTAGTCCGTGACAATACCCTCACCACTCGCTCCCTCAGTTATATCCGCGTCTAGGGCGGCAGAATAGAGAGGGCGGCGTCCGCGACACTACCCTCACCACCCGTGCCCTCAGTTATATCCGTGTCTAGGCGCCCCCATCCCCGCTTTCACTTTAGGGTTGATGGCACTCACTAAGGAAGTGAGTGGTTACAGGTTTCCAACATTCTTCAAAATACTTTCGTTCGTGTTTAACAGAGGACAGAAATCTTAGCATCATGGGTAATGTCGTTTTTAACCTCAAATTCAACTGTTAAAGAAGTTTATTTTGAGAATAAGGTTTGGCATGGGCTTTACTAAAGCATATACCAGGGGTCACCAATCTTGGTCCTGGAGGGCCAGTGTCCCTGCAGGGTTTAGCTCCAACCTGCCTCAACACACCTGCCTGGATGTTTCAAGTATACCTAGGAAGACCTTGATTAGCTTGTTCAGGTGTTTTTGATTAGGGTTGGAGCTAAAATCTGCAGGACACCGTCAGGAACAAGTTTGGTGACCCCTGGCATATACCGTCAGTTAAAGGAATAGCTCACCCAACCTTAAGAGTTTCTTTATGCTGTTAAATTCAATTCCAGTTTATTTGTGTAGCGCTTTCGCAATAATCATTGTTTCAAAGCAGCTTTACAAAATATGCACATTATTGCATAAATATCAGATGACTGAATATCAAAATCAGAAAAGTTAAGGTTATTAGTTAGCATAACTGCTAAATTAGTTACTAATAACTTGAGCTAATTAACTAGTAACTAATAGCTATAATTCACATATGGTTAAAAAACCTACTGAAAACCTAAAACCATTGCCTTCCATAGAAACAAAACACACTCATTATCAGTCAGTGGTTACAGGTTTCCAACATTCTTCAAAATATCCTCTTTTGTGTTTAACAGAGGAAAGAAAATCAACATGTTTGGAACATGAATTAGTAAATCATGACATTCATTTGTCATGTTTTGCGTGAACTATCACTTTAACAACCTCAGAACTCACATCAGGTCAGCCTTTAATAATTTAGAAGATGTCATTAAGGGTGCTTTCACACCTACACTTTTGTTTCGGACCCTGTCTCGTTTGCCTGTTCGTTTGGCATATGTGAAACCACCAATCGCGCTCGGATCTGCACCAAAACAATCACTCCGAGATCGCTTGATTGAGGTGGTCTCGGCTCGATTGAAACGAACTCTGGAGCGGATCGATTGTAGAAAGCGAAACGATCCGAGCCTGATTATATCACTGTGTTTTATGGATATGTCATAGGCATACGGCTACATGGAGAGAGAGTTATGATTAGGGCGGGAGGTCATTCCAGACATCTCAAGTCTCCCGGAAGCTTCGGGAGTTATCCGCAAATACACAGAGACTCCCGGATGCCCACAAACGAGTGATAATCTCCTGGTAATCACGCGTCTCCCGGTCCTCAAATAGGCATCGTTGCGCACCCTTCTCACCCCTCCCCACCGCATCCCTCCTCGCTCCTCAGACACAATGCAAGCACCGTGTCAACCACCACCAAACCACCACTCCCCCGACAGGTGAGCGAACTCTGCAAAATAAACCCTAAAACTGACCAATGTGAGGAGAGTTTACTCACACTTGACTTGTTTTAGCTCTTTTGGTCCGTTTAGAAACTTTGCAGTGTGAAAGCGAAGCGCACCAAGAGCAACAATGTAACAATTTTAATCCCTGTTTCGTTACAACTAACTCTATTCACAGGTGTGAAAGCACCCTAAAACGAATGTCCCTATGGAGAAAACGAATGGAGTTTTGACTTCCAGAGCCCAGACTGCAGCACTCTATTCCCGAATGCCGCATTTGACCTTTGACCTCCGCATGCTGAAAGGTTACGGATGAAGCGCACCGTAACAAAGAGCTTATTTCCACTGCAAAGGAAAAGCGCAGTTTAACACCACGCTAACGCTTCAGCATTCATCATCTGGCATTGCTTCTAATAGTAGCGATTGAGACTCCGTGTCCCCGGGACGTCCGGCTGTCCGTTCATCCAGATCTCTCGTATGATGCGCTCTCTCTCCTCCAGTCTCTGCGCTCGCTCCAGCTCCTCCGCCGATGTGAAAACGTTCGTGTTTAGCGTTCGCTCGAAGCGCCGGTGCCGTCGAGCCGACAGGTCTGAGCCGGTGTCCCAGTCTGAATCAGAGTCAGTGGTGTCGCTGTCTGAGTCCACAGCTCTCGGGCGCTTCTTAGCGGCTCCGTGACGAGGTTTACAGTCCATACGGCAGGAGATCTGAACCACCAGCGCAAACAGAGTCAGGAACAGACCTGCGCACACACCGCACATAAAGTACAGCGCACATCGCTCTGGGTGCTCTGAGATGGAGAGAGAAGAACACAGCATTAGAGCTGGCATTAAACATACTAAGAGCATCTTGATGAATATGAAACAAAAATGTGGTCAACTGGTAAAGTTCTTGTTGAATGGCTATCAGTCATTTAGGGCGGAGCTATCAGTCATTTAGGGCGGAGCTGTCAGTCATTTAGGGTGGGGCTATCAGTCATTAAGGGCAGGGCTTTCAGTCATTTTGGGCTGGGTTATCAGTCATTTAGGGCAGAGCTATCAGTCGTTTAGGACAAGGCTATCAGTCATTTAGGGCGGAGCTATCAGTAATTTAGGACGGGGCTATCAGTCATTTAGGGCGGAGCTATCAGTCATTTAGGACAGGGCTATCAGTCATTTAGGACAGGGCTATCAGTCATTTAGGGCGGAGCTATCAGTCATTTAGGACAGGGCTATCAGTCATTTAGGACAGGGCTATCAGTCATTTAGGGTGGAGCTATCAGTCATTTTGGGTGGGACTATCAGTCATTTAGGGCTGGGTTATCAGTCATTTAGGGTGGGGCTATCAGTCATTTAGGGCTGGGTAATCAGTCATTTAGGGCTGGGCTATCAGTCATTTAGGGCTGGGTTATCAGTCATTTAGGGCTGGGTTATCAGTCATTTAGGGCGGGGCTATCAGTCATTTAGGGCGGAGCTATCAGTCATTTAGGACGGGGCTATCAGTCATTTAGGGTGGGGCTATCAGTAATTTAGGGCTGGGTAATCAGTCATTTAGGGCGGAGTTATCAGTCATTTAGGGCTGGGTTATCAGTCATTTAGGGCGGGGCTATCAGTCATTTAGGGCGGAGCTATCAGTCATTTAGGACGGGGCTATCAGTCATTTAGGGCGGGGCTATCAGTAATTTAGGGCTGGGTAATCAGTCATTTAGGGCGGAGTTATCAGTCATTTAGGGCTGGGTTATCAGTCATTTAGGGCGGGGCTATCAGTCATTTAGGGCTGGAGCTATCAGTCATTTAGGACGGGGCTATCAGTCATTTAGGGTGGGGCTATCAGTCATTTAGGGCAGGGCTATCAGTCATTTAGGGCTGGGTTATCAGTCATTTAGGGCGGGGCTATCAGTCATTTAGGGCGGAGCTATCAGTCATTTAGGGCGGAGCTATCAGTCATTTAGGGCGGAGCTATCAGTCATTTAGGACAGGCCTATCAGTCATTTAGGGCGGGGCTATCAGTCATTTAGGGCGGAGCTATCAGTCATTTAGGGCGGAGCTATCAGTCATTTAGGGCTGGAGCTATCAGTCATTTAGGGTGGGGCTATCAGTCATTTAGGGCTGGGTAATCAGTCATTTAGGGCGGAGTTATCAGTCATTTAGGGCTGGGTTATCAGTCATTTAGGGCGGGGCTATCAGTCATTTAGGGCGGAGCTATCAGTCATTTAGGGCTATCAGTCATTTAGGGTGGGGCTATCAGTCATTTAGGGCGGGGCTATCAGTCATTTAGGGCTGGGTTATCAGTCATTTAGGGCGGGGCTATCAGTCATTTAGGGCGGAGCTATCAGTCATTTAGGACGGGGCTATCAGTCATTTAGGGTGGGGCTATCAGTCATTTAGGGCTGGGTAATCAGTCATTTAGGGCGGAGCTATCAGTCATTTAGGGCTGGGTAATCAGTCATTTAGGGCGGAGCTATCAGTCATTTAGGACGGGGTTATCAGTCATTTAGGGCTGGGTTATCAGTCATTTAGGGCGTGCTATCAGTCATTTAGGGCGGGGCTATCAGTCATTTAGGGCTGGGTTATCAGTCATTTAGGGCGGAGCTATCAGTCATTTAGGACAGGGCTATCAGTCATTTAGGACAGGGCTATCAGTCATTTAGGGTGGAGCTATCAGTCATTTAGGGCGGAGCTATCAGTCATTTAGGACGGGGTTATCAGTCATTTAGGGCGGGGTTATCAGTCATTTAGGGCTGGGTTATCAGTCATTTAGGGCGGAGCTATCAGTCATTTAGGGCTGGGTAATCAGTCATTTAGGGCGGAGCTATCAGTCATTTAGGACGGGGTAATCAGTCATTTAGGGCTGGGTTATCAGTCATTTAGGGCGGAGCTATCAGTCATTTAGGGCTGGGTTATCAGTCATTTAGGGCTGGGTTATCAGTCATTTAGGGCGGAGCTATCAGTCATTTAGGGCGGGGCTATCAGTCATTTAGGGCTGGGTTATCAGTCATTTAGGGCGGAGCTATCAGTCATTTAGGGCTGGGTAATCAGTCATTTAGGGCTGGGTAATCAGTCATTTAGGGCGAAGCTATCAGTCATTTAGGACGGGGTTATCAGTCATTTAGGGCTGGGTTATCAGTCATTTAGGGCGGAGCTATCAGTCATTTAGGGCGGGGCTATCAGTCATTTAGGGCTGGGTTATCAGTCATTTAGGGCGGAGCTATCAGTCATTTAGGGCTGGGTAATCAGTCATTTAGGGCGGAGCTATCAGTCATTTAGGACGGGGTTATCAGTCATTTAGGGCTGGGTTATCAGTCATTTAGGGCGGAGCTATCAGTCATTTAGGGCGGGGCTATCAGTCATTTAGGGCTGGGTTATCAGTCATTTAGGGCGGAGCTATCAGTCATTTAGGGCTGGGTAATCAGTCATTTAGGGCGGAGCTATCAGTCATTTAGGACGGGGTTACCCATCAACACCCATCTTTCAACAATCCAATCAGTTCCCAAAGGACAAAATCATGCACAGCACAACATTTTTTTGTACATCCCAATAGTGGAAGAAAGGACAATCTTAACTTCTGTTTTGAAGATTTTGAGCAGACTCTGTAGATCTGTAGTTCTAGGTGATACATATAATAGCAGTAAGAATTTTTTTTAGATAAAAAAAAAAATACAAGCGAGTCTAAATCACTAGCCGTGGCTCCTGATGACACACTGAAGTCTTTTGAAGCTAATCGATCAGCCCTTATATGAAATAAAACATTCAAACAGATATCATAATGTAGTTTGATTTTATTATAATCGCTTTGGATGACAAAAGCACAAGAGCTGTAATGCAATCAAAATGACCATTCAACAAACTGCTAAACATAAGCAACCGGACTACATTTGCACATGCTATTGGTTTGAAATCTTTAGTATGCGTTTAGTTTAAATCTCCAAAAAAAACTTGTCACCATTCACTGCCATTATAAGAAGCACAAAGGACCACAGATTCAGCTCAAAACTCTCTTTAGTGTTCTACTACAGAAAACATCACCTACATCTTAGATGACCTGTGGGTGAGGCCAAGAACAGGATTAAAAAAAACATTTAGTGTGTACTTTAAAGTTTCCTTCAATTAAATGAAGTCTTGTTGGTGTGACTTTACCTGTGATGTAGGTATATGCCGCCAGTAGGCTGCTGATGAGACTCATAGTTGGTCTAATGACACTGGAAATGGTCGGGTTTGGATTCAATTTTCCAGTCCGATCCGCTTCTTCTGAAGATGGACCAGATTTCCGGCCTCGCGTCGACCTCCCTGTGATCAAACACACACACCGTCACTGCATCATTATTTTACAGCACCGGGCTGCGTTATGGGTCTTTACAAAAAAGAAAGTTTACATTTGTATGGTTGGTTAAAAACCCGCCTCAAGGTTTTGTAACTGGCAGTAAACAAAAGGATGAGTTGGATTTACATCAATAATTCATCAACAGCTTCTCATAGTGTGTGTATGTGTGGTGTGTGTGTGTGTGTGTGTGTGTGTGTGTGTGTGTGTGTGTGTGTGTGTGTGTGTGTGTGTGTGTGTGTGTGTGTGTGTGCGTGCGTGTGTGTGTGTGTGTGTGGCATGACTAGTATGTTTTTTTTTTTGTAGATGTTTTGCAAAATGTTCTTGCAGATCATTTTTATGCATCCATTTATACAACTTCTGCAGTCTTGGATTATATTGCACAAGTCAAACGCATTTAAGTTATGTTGGAAATATGGCACTGAACACACATGATTGTCACTAAATAGTTGCCAAGGGCAGGACACTAGTATTGTGCTCTAGACTATATAACAGTTCAATTTACAGCACCTATATAAAGTGCATAAAAAGCAAAAACAATACTCTTAACTAAATAGTTTGTTGAATTTATTGCAAAACAGGTACAGCACTATC